GATCTTATTATTACTATGGTTTGAGTTTTCTCTGTTGTGCTTCAATGGCGGAACACAAAGATATTAAATTTGACTCCAAGAGGAAACCTCCCCTGTTTCCCGCCAACTTTGTGACAATCGTTCAGCTTCAGGAGCGGTGGAGTAGGGAGCAGGAGCGGAAGCAGAGGGAGAAAGAAGAAGAAGAAGAAGAAGAAGAAGAAGAAGACAGACAAATGAAAGTTGTGGAGGGAGAGGAGGCTGGGGGCCAGAAAGTGAAACGCGAGGCAATCAACTGCAGAAATCAATCTCGGAGATATGATCGGAGGGATCGTAGTCGGGGGCACGAGACATTGGAGAGTGCGGTTAAGGAGGCGGAAAGTGAGGGATTGAAGAATCAGAAGAAAGAGAAATCGGTGGAGTGGAGAGAGAAAAGTAAGAAAAAAGACGAGGAGGTGATTGCAGGCGAGAAGGAAGCGCCGCCGTCCCAGACGTCTGTTGAAAAGGACAAGGTTCCAACGAGGAGAGAGTGGAGGCCTAGAGGAGCTCCTACGCATTTTAGGCCGAGTATCCAGAATGCTACTGTTGAGATTGGGAAGAAAATTGGGGGTCCATCTGTTAATGGTTCCAATAGAAGAGACCGTAGGTGTTCAACACATACAGGGTACTACGATCGTAGCAACTTGGAGTATGGCAGGGATTATGGGAGGTTCCATCGTCCTGTGGAGAGAAAATCGAGAAATGCTGGGATGATGTGGGTAAAAAAGGGAGAGGTTGGTGATGGAAGTGCCGGTGATCTCCTCTCAAAAGGATTGGACTAATGCATTCCGCTGGTAATAGATGCCCTTTGTTTCTTTATCTTTTACTTCTTTTTTTCATGTGTTAACTTTTTGTGTCTCTTAGTTTGTTGAAAGACTGTTCCTTTAATGTCCTTCGGTTCGATTGGGACAATGACTGTGTGTTGAAATCCTTTGGCAGTGAAAAAGATAAAGAATTGTTTAATGACCAACTGGGTTGGAGTGAAATGGATTAAAAGCTAGATCTTGAAGTTTTATCCTATTAAATTAGTTCTAAGATTTTGTTAAGACATTATATAAAAATGACTAGTAGGAGACCATTGACAAATAATACCTTTCTCTTAAGAGGATATGTTGAATGGAAGGAGTGGTGATTGCGTTTGATAATTTGATTATGAATTGTTCTATGCAAAACAACTCAGGAAATGGTTACTTTGTGCATCTAACCAATTGTTTGCTTAACTAAGTTTGGATGTCTTGGTTTAAACTAGATGGTGGTGTCTTGCAGAGTCCAATAAACACCACACTCTGTATTTTTGAAAGGTTCTTGACTTGAAACACGGGGATTGTAGATTTATTGAGTCATTTCAGGGGAAAATGTAGTAATATGACATAATCATATTGAGAACATTGCTGCAACTACATGCGTTAGGTTTTTTTGTCTTAACAGATAGTAATCAAATGACATAACTAAATGACCTTAAGTGGGTAATTATGTTAATTGATAGGTATACAGTAGGGGTCCTTGTTAGTTCTTTTTTGCACTCTTATGCGGAGCTGGTTAAATATGGACCGTGGAACTTGAGAGTGCAAATAGGATCTTTCATGAGTCAATTCTTTGAGCAGTTTAGAAATTTTTTTGTACATTAAGGGGGAAAAAACAGAGTTGTAAAGATATGCTACTTTTATGCTTGCAATTAGATCTTAACAAAGATGAATAATTGATGTACGGTATTTGACTGCAAACAGTGTGGATGATATATCTTTAGTCTTTACATGTAGTTTCCAAGTGACAGAATACCCATTTATACCCAAGTTTGTTAAATAGAGGCTGGCTATATATATATATATATATATGTTTGTCTGGTGATTTATGTTTGCAAAATGATTTGGTTTCATCATCTCTCATCATCAGCTTACTTTTTAAGGCATTCTCTCGATGATGGCATGGCCTATTTATATATTTCTTTACTAAGTTGTTTACAATGTTTGAACTGAAATTTT